CTTTTGCGAATATTTTGAGGTTTTGTCCTCTTGGACGCATTTTGGTAGGCCTGTTGGAGGCCTCTTGAAGGTCTTGGAGCGTTCTTAAGCCGTTTCGATGCCTCTTGAGGCCCTTTGATCACGTTTCAGGATCACCTTGGGCCGTCTGTCAGCTCTCCCGGAGGCCCTGTCCCACCATGCCCCCCCATGGTCCCTGGGCCGGCAAGGGTGCCTCGTCCCATATATATATATATACACACATACCGACCAGCCTACCTACCTACCTACCGGCATCTATATGCATCATACATACGTGCATACATGCATACCAACATACATGCATATATACATACATACATGCACGCATACAAACATTACATGCACGCATTACATACATACCATACATACCATGCATGGTATACATACATACATGCGTACATGTATACATGCATGCATACATGCGTACAAACCCACATTCCTACATGCAAACATACATGCCTTCATTATTTCATGCACGCATGCACACAATACATACGAGACACTGGACTACACATCACTGCATACATTCATACATGCATGCAAGCATGCACACATACAAGAGTATACGCACACATATCAACACATATATATATATATATATATACACATACATAAATGCATGCATGCATACGTACACATACATACATACATACAGGCAGGCAGACAGACAGACAGACACCCATACACACATACACACATACATGCATGCATACATGAATGCATGCACATATACACATACATACATACATACATACATACATACATACATACATACATACATACATACATGCATGCATGCATGCATGCATGCATGCATGCATGCATGCATGCATGCATGCATACATACGCACACATATGCACATACGTACGTACATACAGGCATGCACATATACAGACGTACATACATGTATGCATGCATGCATACATGCATGCATACCTGCATACATGCATACATGCATGCACACGTACATACGTACAAACGAACATGTGTGTGCACATATTCACATGTATACCACAACCACGCGCGCGTTTCGCGCGCGCGCTTAGGTTCTAGCTGCTCCCAGGGAACACGCACCGCAAATTTCTAATGCGTCAATGAGGAATGCAAAGGCGACGTCGGCGCTGGTCTCTGACACCGCGCGGACCGTGTAACATTGAACGATCGTGGCTTCCAATTGCGCAGATCGTTGGATGCCGGCTGATTCCAGGCTTTTGGCGTTCAACTGTGAACGCACGCGCCAAGGTTGTCGCTGCGCCAACGTGGCGATAACCTACCGCACTTGTTCGGGGGGGTATCGACCCAAAGGGCCCATGATTTGTCTGTCGTCGATGTTCGTCGACCCTTGATGTTCGAGATCTGTTCGTCGATTGTGGTCTCTAGGAGCCCGTTGCGGGGACGCTCCTGAGACTCCTGAAACGAACAGGGCGAAAGACGCCTGAAACCCTCAATCCCCCAGCCTTGGGCAAGCGGTGGTTTAGGGTTTTTCCTCTTCGAACCTCTTTTTCCCCTTCGGGGAGGGGTTTATCACTGTTCCCTATTAATAAACACCCCCTCCCCCAGCCGACCGGGGGCCAACCAGGGTCCATGCCAACCCCCCCCACCATCCCTTGTAAAAAACAATACAAACACACACTCTGCCTCCAAATTCGGAACATGCGCAGCCAACCCGATGCGCCCCCCCCAACATCCCTGTCAAAAAACAATACAGAGCACACGTGGCGGCGGCGGCGGCTGCGGCGGCGGTGGCGGCGGCTGCGGCGGCTGCGGCGGCTGCGGCGGCGGCGGCGGCGGCGGCGGCGGGGGCGGCGGCGGGGGCGGGGGCGGGGGCGGCGGCGGCGGCGGTGGCGGCAGCGGCTGCGGCGGCGGTTTGGCAACGGGGGGCGGCGGCGGGCGGCGGCGGCGGCGGCGGCGGCGGCTGCGGCGGCGGCGGCGGCGGCTGCGGCGGCGGCGGTAGCGGTGGCGACAGCGGCTGCGGCTGCGGCGGCGGTTTGGCAGCGGGGGGCGGCGGCGGCGGCGGCGGCGGCGGCGGCGGCGGCGGCGGCGGCGGATTGGCCCCCAGTAGCTGCCCATCCCAAGACGACTGCTGAATATGCTGAGGCTCGGGCCAGACTCGGGTGCTACGTATGTGTTGGGAGGGCGGGGGGGAGTAAGCGAGACGGCTTGCGGGCGGGGAGGGGGTAACTTGACCCCTCCCCGTACCTCCTCCCCCTATGTCTGGGCGGGGCGTTCCGCGAGGGAGTAGAGCGTCCAAGATGGCCGAATATGGCTCCAGGAGGGCCCAAGAAATCCCACGATGGCCTCCAAGATGGCTCAAGACACGGTACGGTGGTACCCCAGAAAGCCGCTGCCGTGGGCCCCATGCGGTGGGTCATGCTGATGTCCGTCCCCGCCGACGGGATGCTCTTGAGCCTCCTGGCTCTCGACGACGCCGCACTGAGCCTCGCGCTGTGGATCGAAACCCTCCGAATGCCTCCGAGAGTGGCGTTGGTGCCCAAGTTTCTAATCGTGTCCGTTCGGAAGGACGAAGGGAGGAACCAGCTGTCCTTCAAATGCGCCTCCACTGTGCACAAGTACTCCAGACTTCGTAATAAAAGGGAGGGGGTCTGGACCCTCCAAGACAAGCCATTTCAGACCTCCCCCGTGGGAGAACCCTCCAAAACATCGTCCCCAGACCCACCAGGCCCTCCAAGATAGCCTGGAAGAGACCCCCCCCGAAATGAGACCCCCCTCCCTTTACTACGAAATCTGGAGTAGGCGTACTTCTTAAACTCGAGAGGTAACTGCAAGCCCTCGAAAGACCTGAGCAAGAAGAACCCACCACACCTGTGGGGAGCTGCGCGGCCACCGGCAACTTCGGGCCGCAGCAGTGCAAGGTGATGAAACTAGTGTCCGTAGATCTACGGAGCATTCTGCGTTTCTTTGTCGCAGATTCGACAGAAACTCAGTTCTTGGGTAAATCAATCTTTGAAGGGGCCCCAGGACACACAAATAAATACACACAAATAGAAAGATTCCCAATATGTTCTTATATTTTCTGGGTTTTTGTCTTCCCCCCACTTCCCATATTTTCCTACATTTTCCTGGGAATCGACGATTAATTGTGTCTGTGTGTGTTTTTCCCCTCCTAAATCTTGTATTCTCGAGAACAGTGTACACGTCCGAGCGATGCCAAGCCCGGCTCCGCGTAGAGCGCTCCGCGAGGCGCGCCTCGCGCCTCTCGCGGAAGGCCGCCTGCAAGAAGAGGGCAGCTCTCCAGCACGGGACGCGACGCGCCACGCGCGCTTGCCTTCGTGCCCCAGAAGGTGACCTTGCCATCGCTCGGACGTCCACTCCCTGTGCACTCTTCGGTTTCGCGCGTGCGCTTGTTCGCAAGATAACACCCAAAGCCTCCTCGATGGCCCTCCCCGAGAAAAATGAACTTACACGAGCGATGCCGAGTCTTGCGGAATCTTCCGAAAGGTGCCCGCACGGTTCCGCTGGCCTCCTGAGCCGCTCTGAGGTCCTCGAGGAGGTGCTGCTGGTCGGCCCCCCCCCCCCCCCAAGCAGGGGTTGGACAGGAGCCTCCCCGAAGCGGCGCTGCCGGTGCCCCCGGCTGCCCCTGAGTCGGCCGCTTCTTGCCTCAGGGGATACACCCTGCGAAATGCTTAAGAAATCATGGGTTAAGAAATTCATAGTCTCAGAACTTGAACAAAAACCCAAGATTTCTATCAAGATCTTAGGATTTCCATTGAAACGTTAAGAATAATCGAGACTCTGGCCGAAAATTTAAGTTTTCTTAAGCATCGCCTGAGGTGTACTGCCGCGGCCCCCGACCCTGACATCTGGGCGCCGCCGCAAAGAGGACGGGCAGCTCTGCCCCGCGTCGGGCACCGGGGCCCGCGGGGACCGATCCGGCTCGACAATTACAGAGGATGGAGAAGCGCTGGCAGTGCTCTTCGTCACGGCGGGGGGAGTCGCCCCCACGGAAGGGGCCCACAAGCACACAAACGAATACACACAGAGATAAAAAGATGCCCCATCTTTTCCCATACCTTCTGGGTTTCTGTCTTCCCCCCCACTTCCCATATTTTTTCGCATGTGTTCTGGGGAATCGAGGGTTCATTGAGTCTGTGTGCTTTTGTTCCCTCCTGATCTTTGCCACGACGGAGTGAGTCGCCTCACGTCGTCAGACGTCGGGCTCTGACGCTCCTCGCGCCCACGTTCGGCTCCTCCCCGCTCGCACGCGCCCGGAGGCGCGCACGCTCTGCTCCGGGCGCGGCCGCCGAGCTCGGGCCACCTGCTGAAATCCTGACGCCTCCGCTCCCGCCCAAGCTTGGAGGCCTGGAAATTGGCACCAACACCAACACAGGGGGGTGCCTCCACAAGGGGGAAGATGGTCCTAGAGTTCGGTGTTGGCGGTAATATTTCGGCCACCTTGGATGCCAAAAGATTACCACCATCACCGGGACCGGAATCCTCATCCCTCGGTGGAGGCAAGCCGCCGATATTGGTGTTGGTGTCAATCTCGAGGCCTGCGATAAGTGTCTCGCGCCGGCGCGCTCACCGAGTTTCCCAAGGAAGGTCTGAACCCTTGCCCTCGCCACCGAGCCAGACCAAACGATCAATGAAAAGACCTCCCAAAGTTCTCCCGGCCTCCTGCATCTGCTGCCCGGCTTCTGACGAGAGTCCGATATTTTGTACCGAGGCTCCCCCAAAAGCTGGTCGGGCAGAGCCAAGCGCTGCATGACACGTTCTGCCACGGCGGTCGATCTCAGGTCAACGGCGGCGGGGGGGGCGCCGCGCCGGCGCGGGGGCAGGCGCCGCCGGCCAGGGGCGCCGCGGGAGGAGGTGCAGACCGCCTCGCGGCAGCAGGCACGGCCAGACGGGCCCTCCGCCACCTCGGGGAGTGCAGCCCTGTGGAGGGCGATCAGTGGAGAGGAAGCATGTTGCCAGATAAATTCTAGATGTCTAGTCCTGACACTTTCTGTCACGGCGGTCGATC